CCATAAAAGTGTTTATGCTAAAATGTAAAAAATTTTCATTAGTGCATTTAAATTGACATTAAGTAACGTAATTCAAATCTACCATCACATAATTAATTAAACAATATATTACCTTAAACTCCTAAAAATAGAAATCTTAAGTTTCCTTGATAATTGACTTTTATGTCATTTTAGATAAGTCGATATGCTCTTGAAATATCTTAGAGATCTAATAAGAGAACACACCAAATGGATACAATCTATTAAACAAGATAATTAATAGTAAAATGAATGCATTAATATAATAATACACCATACAAAAATATAGTAAAAAATACGCATAATATGTACTCCTTGCCATTATTGATAGTAATCAAAATCTAACAATGGGATGAAAAATTGATAGGTACAAAAGATATACCGAAAGGGATGTTTAATGGTGGGCTATGTGTAGATACTTGACGATAATCTTGTTAAGGCATTGGCCATGATGACAATAAAGGTATAAAAATTTTGGCATGTGATCCAAACCGATGGGGCTCGAGTTGAGACATGTCAAACGATGATAGGTATGCCACATAAGCTATTAGAGGGAATGCATCAATGTTGGGGGAAGCAACCATGCAAATTGGAACATAAGCAGAACTATGACCATATCCATAGCCACTTGCCATTGTTAGTGTTAGTGCCCCAACCCTAACCATTTAATCTAGCCAACTCGTATACGGCAATGTCTCCTACTTTGAGGCATAACCTACATGTTATCACATTATATAGTTAATTAAACACAATAACATTAAAACATGTCTATTACCATAAACAAGTTAAAATGCATTTAATATACAATCAATAAATACTTTCATGATTAAATTAAAATATGTACACATATATGTCACCTTAAATACTCAATTAACTTCTTTATTTTTTTTAGTTATGGAAAAATGAACAAATTAGAACAAGGGACAATCACACCTTACCCCACAATAAGAGGGACAAAGAAGCCTAAACTCCAAATCTATTTAATATTGCTAATCAGTATCCTCATTATCATTATTATAATTTTCATCTAATTCTTCTTCTACCTTTGCTTCAAATTCAACATCAAGATATTCATTAATTTCATCTCCTTCGAATTTATTAATGATCTAGTTGGATCGATCAACGATCGACCCTCATCATAATCAACTCGAATGACATTATGTTGGGCTTTCATATCATCCTCCTAAAATAGTTTTGTATTTTTTAGACCATAATAGATGATTCTAGCACATTCATCCTTGCCTTAGGTTTTACCTTACATATAGCAAACCAATCATATATGTTGTACTTCGAGGTAATAGATATGGCATAATACATATGATTTGTTTGTGTTGCTAACATTAAGGAATCGAATTTGTTCAACCTCCTACAACTATGTACCTCTACTACTCCTTACTGATCATGAGCTCTTACACTAACTTTAGGAGAAGTATCATACCAATCACATTTGAATAATATGATTTTCTTAATTGATAATACACGATACTCAAGCTTTAGTATATCAATCAACCTACAATAGTAGTTATTTTACTCAATACTATAATTAACTCTTTTTATACACATTTGACTACACATTATTCCTCTATCCGAATCATGACCTTTGATATAAAACTTGTACCCAATCATAATGTATCCTTGATATGATTTTTCCATTCGTAAAGAGCCTTTGACAAGATCATTAATGAATTAATTGGTGCTTAAGTTGGGTTTAACATTGCTTTTCTATAAAGTTGAAATTCATTCCTTACTATTAGTATAACATTTCATCATTACATCTTACTAAAAAAATGAATTCAAAGTTGATGATACTTATATATTGATGGAACCATGAAAAAAATCATTTTTGAGTTGAGCATCAACCTCGAGCTTTGATGAGTTAATATTACTTTGATAAAGCGAGGCTAATGAAATAGTTATTGAAGGACCAATAATTTTTAGATTTTTAATGTCTTTATTATATTTCATTAATAATTAATGAAGTTTAGTATTGAAAATTTTGCTAATATTGTACACTTTTTTGTATTTTAACACTTACTCATTGTAAGGTGTCACCTCATTATAGTTGAATAAAATGTAGGTATGAGACGTAAACTTTTCTTCATCCATCAACCTATGTGATTTTTCTCAACCAAGAGCTCGACATTTTAGTTTGAATATAGCAAGCTTCCCTTCAATGTCATGACTTGATTCTCGAGCACATTTAAAGTTATGTGGCATTTTTTGATTCTTCGTATGCACATTAGGCTCGAAGTAGTATGAATAAAACATTGATGTTTCTTCCACAAAATATACATTGCATATTGACCCTTCAACTCTTGTTTTTTAGTTTCTAAAGATACCTAAGACATGTATTATGTACCTATAATAGTTAACAAATATTTTTAAAAAATTTAATCAAAGATTCAAAATCATATCTTTACCTTTTAAATGGATATGTCCACCAATATTACACTAGTCTTGCTAATTTTGCTTCATATGCAAAGTGGATAGGAAGATGTTTAATTGAGTTGAAGAAACTTGGTAGAAATATGCGCTCAAGTTTGCACAAAATTGAAGGCATCTCTATTTCAAAATGCCTCGTATCTTCAATCCTAATGATAATAGAAGTCAATTCCTTAAAGATTATAGTCAACTCAATAAGTTTTTGTCTAACATTTCTCAATAATAGGGTGTATAATGTGATAAGATTTAATCCTTGTGTAAATATGTGATAGTCATGAACATGAAATATGAGGTTGTTCATATCAACACACCTAGTTGGCATATATCTATCAAAAAACCCGAGTTATTTAAGCCATTCAAGCAATTTTATTTTTTTATTATTTGTCTAAGTTTTAATCGGATTTAGGGTATTTTCTTGAGTCTTCATCTCTTTCTAATTCTAGCCACCAATAATATAGTTTCAAGTCTTCTCTAGAGTTGATATTGTCTTTGGTTTTTCTCGACACACTCATAATTGTATTAATACATTATTGATGACATTTTTTTAAGGTGCATTACATCCATATTATGGTGAATTAGACTAGAAATCCAAATGGAAGACCCTAGAATATACTTCATTTTTTCCAATCACAAACTCTAGATATACTACTATTACACTCTTTAGAACCATCTTTGGTGGGTTTATCAACCCTTAATTTGAAAATGTTCTTATTCCTCTTAAATGGATGACTATTCGATAGAAACTTATAGTGATTGTCAATCCATGAGGTTTTTCTACTATGAAAGAGAATAAAAGCATCGAATTTTTCATGCAACAAGGGCAAGGTTTTTTTTTCCATAATACTACAACCAAACAACATTGAATATATGATGAAGTTACTAATTGTCAATATAACTATAGCTCATATATGAAAATTCTACTTATAGGACACATCATAGCTAAGCACACTAACTTTCCACATATCAACTAACTCTTTAATCAAGGGCTATAAAAGCACGTCTATGTTGATCTTTGGATTTTTTTGTCCAAGGACAATTATAGTTAAGAATATATATTCTTCCTTCATACACTTTCATGGTGATAAATTATAAGGCATTATAAAGAATATTGTTGTCCAAATAGACCCAAAGGCTAAAACCCATCAATATAGACTCGTAATCCGACATTCTTAATTTTTTATGCAAAAGAAAGTTGTGTTTGATTGAAATACTACCATATAAAGGAGTTAAAGAAATGATGCATGACATCTACCTCAAGTTCGACATGCCACGTCATGTCATGAGTTATGGTATTCAATGCATACAACCTTTGTAGTTGTAAGGTTAGGGAAATAATATATTTTTTATATGAGACATAAGTTTCTCTAACCGATCCACACATATGACTTTGATATTGAGGATATTCATCGATTTTTCTAGAAACTCTCTCACTATGCTTATCCCAATAAATCATGCATCCATTTATACAACTATGGATTCGTTCAACTAATAAACCCATGATACATGTAAGAAACATAGGGAAAAAGATGCTCAACCTACAACGAATGGAGGCTTGGTCATTATTGCTATCCTAGCCTACTCTTCAACATGGGCGGATTCGGACTTGTGGGGGAGGAGCATGCAATGTCAAGCAATGTAAATAAAATTTAAAGATAGATGTAACTAACCAAAACACATTAATGTAGGACATAATACAATTGAAACACACTACTAAATTATATTACGCTAAGGTTGCTTCTTACCAAAATGATTAAAGAGCTAACGCTAATACATAAAAATTGTACCACCTCAAAGAAATACCTCTTGCCCTAAGATAACCTAAATATATTAATTCAGAACCAACTTGCTTTTCTCTTGAATGGAATTAGAGATGGCTACTACACAACTCAACCATACTATAATCCTAAATTTTTTTACGGGAAGACCGGATATTAAAGATATCCTTCTTCATATTCAAAGGTTGTGGAATCTCAAAGGGGAACCCGTGACAAGATTGTTGGACCCTAGGCATGTCATGGTTAAGTTTGATTGAGAAGGTGATTTTAACCATGTTTTTTCAAGAGAAGATCACAAGATCATGAATTATAAGTATCGAATGTTTAGGTGGAATGCCAATTTTTAGTTTAGAAGAGACAACACTATCATATCCGCTTAGGTTAGATTGCCACACTTGCCTTTGCTATACTTTAACATGTCATACCTCAAACAAATACGGGTTGAACTTGGAGACTTCTTAAGGGTCGATGAATGGACTATGTCCCTTACTCATCCTATATATGCTTGGATTTATCTAGAGGTTGATGTTTCATAGCCACTACCTAGTAGAATCTTGATTGGTAGTTCTAAAAAGTAAGGTTTTTGGCAAAGGATAAAGTATGAGGGTAACTTGATATACCGCAATGTACATGGTCCGATAGGTCACATGAATAATGTGCAGTAGGCTAATCATAAAGAGGAATGCTAAAGTAGTTTAGAAGGAGAATAATTAGTGGGCTCGCATGGAAAACAAAAAACCATCGGATAGTCTATCAATTGAGAGAATGTCCAAGATGCCTAGTATTGATTCCATTAGAGTGTTGGAGAAAGGAGGGTGTAGTAGGCAAACTAAACAAATGGGTGAGGGAAATCAAAAGAAATCCTTGAAGTCTAGTATAGAGGCCATGAAAGATGATAATGGAAGGAGTTCTAAGGAGTTTATAAGTGAAAGTAATCTAGAACGTCAAAAAAATACTATTACAATGATTTCTAACTAGTTTACATTACTGGAATTATCAAAAGTCAATGGAGATTTAGCTTAGGAAAGTGGAGAGAATATAGATGAGATATGTATTTAGGAGGTGATAACATAAATGAAAATGGGACTAGTGAGAGCCATCCTGTTTCGAAATTATGGGCGAGTGGCCATGATGCTAGTAACCAAGGCACTACGGTGAAAGCATGGATGAAAAAGGGTGATAAAGTTTTTGGGAAGGAAAAGGTGGGAGATAAAGATGTTAGGGGATATGATTTATGTGTGCCAAATAGTCATGCAGTGGTATTGGATAGTAACAAAGGTGGAGATGGTATAGTGGTAGTAGAGGATTTTTCTCATCTTGAAGATGATATCAAGGTTAAGAAAGTTTCTATAGAGGGTGTCCAGGCCTTGAAAGGTGGAAATGGCTTGGCTCGGTAAAAGGGAGAAGATTTATCTACACCGGTTAATCATTCGAGTTCTCTAGGCAGTAATAAAAGTTTATAGGGTACAGCGGTGGTAGAGGCTAATTAGCATTTGGAAGAAAACATTAGCATTAAGAAATTATTTACCAAGGGTTTTCCTATCATGGATGGTAGTGATGACTTAGTGTAGACTAATGTTACTACTATAGACAATAATTATAGGGCGAGTCATGTAATGGCATAAGAGGCTTTATTGTAAACAAGGGATGAATCGAATATGAACAATATGCACAAAATTGATGGTTTAGATCTAAATGAGCCAACCATTTGGAAATGATCAGTTTTGTAAGATGAGAGGGAATGTGATACATATAATTTACATCGACTATCTTTACGGAGTATACATGTTTATAAGGCGAGATATAAAGATAGTAAGGATAAATTTTATGAAGTTTTAGAAATTAGCTAGAAACTTGAAACTATAACTACCAAATTATGATAGAAAGACAAGATCACCTTTAAAGCATTGGGCACCACCCCTACGTCAATTTAATTATGTCGGTATCATTTGGAATGTAAGGGGTATTGGAAACATAGATACAATTAACTATATTAGATTATTTAAGAAGCGAGCATAAGCTAAATTTTTTTGCTTTTATTGATCCTAAACTAAGGGGATAAAATAGATAATTTTCCTAAATCTTTCAAATATAAATGTTTCAAGCATTTTAACCCAACAAATAGTTACATCTAGTTATTTTAGGATGAAGATATTTTAATGACTTGGGAGGCGATTCACAAATAGGTAGTTACTATTAGTATTTTGGATTATCAAATGGGTAAGTCGTGTGTGTCGGTAGTGTATTGTAGTTGTAATTAGAAGGACCATCGGGAGTTATAGGTTGAACTAGACAAGTTAGCTTTAGATACTCAAGAACTATAGATTATGGGAAGTGACTTTAACATCATAGTGACTACCGATGAGATGAAAGGTGGTAATGGTTTTTATATTTTAGGTATGATAGATTTTAATAATTACTATGATTAAACCGATATGGTTGACCAAGGTTATTACGGTAGCAAGTTTAAATGGTGTAATAATCAGTTAGGTTTAGCTAGTATTTAAGAGAGGCAAGATAGAGTAATGGCTAATGGATCGTATGTAGCTACTAAATTGAATCAGGTTATCGAGCATTTGGCAAGAATAGTTTTAGATCATAGCCCTTTGCTGATTTGGTTCAACAACATGGAGGTGGAGAGGGACTATTTCAATTAAAACAAATATGGTTGGAGCATCATAATTTCTCGGATTTTATGTGGGCTTCATGAACTAATGTAGTACTAGGCTCTCTTGTAGAAATTTTTCATTAGAAATTTGAGCATCTAAGAAGTTAAGGATATGGAATTAGGAAGTCTTTGGCAACATTCATAAAAACAATTAAAGCGTTGCTTGACGAAAATGATCGATTAAACATGGATTTGGCTCAAGGATGGAATATTTAGTTGGCTGATTTACTTCGGATAAAAAATTTGAGCTAGCACGTTCAATTCATTAGGACTAAGATATGTTGTGATAGAAAGCAAGAATTAAATATGTTATGGAAGGGGATAGGAACATGACTTTCTTTCTTGTACATATTAAAAATACATAAGGAGATTGACTTTTTGACTTTAAAAGCATGATGGAACTTTTGTGGAAGACGTGTTAAAGATAGGGGTGAGGTTGTTAACTACTTTAAAGCCTTGTCTACAACCAGTCAAACAAGTACCTCATGTGTCCTTGTTTTCAAGGGTTTGTTGGAGCATTTTAGATGACAATAATATGTAGCTCACGGGACTTCCTTCAAAGCCCGAGATTATAAGCACCATTGAGGGTCTTAATGCGTTAAGTGCACCTAAATGGGGTGGGTTCACCGGCACTCGTTATAAAGGTTGTTGGCATGTGATTTAGATTGATGTCATTGTAGTAATACAAGATTTGTTTAGAGGAGGTCACCTTCCTAGAGGTATGTCTTCTACTATTTTAGTTTTGATTACAAAGGTGGAAAATCCTAGTTCCCTAAATGACTTATGACCGATTAGTTTCTCTAATTTCAATTGTAAAATTATTTTAAAAATTTTGGCAAATAGAGTCGAGTAAAGTTACGCCAAGCTTAATTGATCCGAAGTAAGAAAGTTTTGTTAAAGGGCATAACATCACTAAAAATATTGCTCTATCCCAAGAGATGGTAGTAGGTTTAAATTAGAAGGTCCATATGGATAAGATGATTTTTAACCTAGATATGTCCAAAGCATACAATAGGGTTAAGTGGCCTTTTATTTTATAGGTAACGTGTGAGATGGGTTTTAATAAAACTTGGTGTGACTTGGTGTATAGGTGTATAAGTAATGTTTGATATACAATTTAAATACGGGGTAAGAACTTTGGTTTTGTTTTAAATCAAGTAGGGGAGTTCGGTAAGGGGATCTACTCTCGCCTTTCTTATTTATTTTAGTTTAGCAAATTCTTTCAATTAACCTAAAAAGGTTTATTGTGGATGGACATATTTCTCCATATAGGTTGGCTAGGGTTGTGTTGTTGGCTTCTTACCTTTTTTATGCATATGACATGCTTCGTTCATAAATGGCTCAAAGTGATACTTGAAGAAGTGGAGGGGCTTATTGGAAAATTATGAAGAATGTTCAAGATAACTTCTTAATGTGGCTAAGAGTGGATTTTACACTCCTAAAAATATGACAACACAAAGAATAGCAACCATTAAGCAATGTACAAGATGCGAACATTTTCAATTTCCTCTATAGTATTTGGGGTGTCCATCTTTTTACAAGAAGAGTGCACTAATGTTACTCCTATGGGATAGGTGCAGCATATATTCAAGGATCATGCATCATATGGAGGTGCGGAATAAATAAATTTTTTCTCCATCTAAAGGCCCAAGATCATGCTAAGATCATGCTCGTTAAATCTACTAACTATACATACATAAATGTAAAGCTACAAATAAAGGATTACCTCTTGTAACACATATTTTAATTCCTTTTTAGCAAATTTGTTCAAGTGTTCGCCCTCTATTGATGATCCACGTAGTCCGAGTATCCACAAAGAAGCACTCAAAATTAATGGGATGCTAGCTCCACCTTTTTGGATTTAGTGTTTCCTATAAAAATCAATACCGGACAATTTTGTAATAACCTTAAAGAAGAAGAAAAGAGTATAACTTACTAGGGTTTAGGAGAAAACTATTTTCTCCATAATTTTCTCTCTTGGCCATGTGTCCTCTCTTATTTTATGGCTAGCTGGAACTCTCTCTCCCTAAAAGCCTTGTGTTTTAGCTGAATTTTCTCTCTCCCTTTTATACCTTGTAATGCCGCACCTCCCTCTCATCTATATATATATATATATATGAGAGTTTCCTTGTCCTCCAAGGATAAGGAGAGGGGCGGCAATGAGGCCATAAAGGACTCTAGGTTGTTACTTCTTTATCCTCAAAGGATGAGGAGTTATTTTGTACATGGAATTTTTTATTATTATCTTTAAAACATTCAACCTTATCCAATAAGGTTGATGTTTATCCTCCAACAAAAATATCTTAAGGTTTTTAATTAAATCTAATAAGCCAAAACTATTTTAGTCCAATTAATTTTTTGGATTATTCGAATAAATATTCTTAAATGATTTTGGTGAGATCCACAATGGGAAACAATTTCTTAAAATATCATTTAACTTAAATTAGGAAACTCCTTTCCTTTTAGGTTCTTTATTTTCAAATTTGAAACTAACTTCCAAATTAGGAAACCAATTTTTAAAATGTGAAACTTTCCATTTAGAAAACTTTCATAATTAAGGAAACTTTTCATTTAGGAAACTTCTATAATTAGAAGCTTTTTCCAATATCTTTGCTTTTCATTTATAATGTGAATATTTAAACTTATTCATGTGACTCAATAGGCTTCTAGATATATTGATAATGTATTAAGAATAAAAGACTCCTTTTTTATCTCTTGATACATAAATCAAGATTGGCCTCCAAGCAAGGCATCATGACTATCCAATTCTCTAAGAGGATTAGTTAATCCATTATTACCTTTCATGAGCATGATTACTATACAATTCAATCCCCATTTCAATTTAGCATAGTGTGATCTCAAACTTGGTTATCGGTCTTGTTCAATTATGATCACAAGTTTTCTTAGATTCTCAAATGTCTTAGCTCTTAGAGTAAACCAATTATCCTCTATTGATATACTACTACTATGGCCACAGATTTCTCGAGCAAACATTTATCAAAGTACAATATGATAATACCTTTAGCAAACAAGGAATGACATGTCTTATCTTAATCATATACCTATCTCCATTGGATTCCTAGTGCACCCAATGAATCGCCAACGTGCAACCCATTAATGGGTCTATCAAAACAAGTGTAAAAGTGCATAAGTCCTTTAATGAGATAACAATGATAACTTTAAGTGGAAGGACCATTTATACCCATCATGTATGAGATTCCCATAGACAAAAAATGAAATGGATTCTCATGGCGAGTCAAGTCCAAGTAGTATGTTCTTTGACATAAATCACCTAAATGCTTGCTTTGGTATCACCGACCAATATGTGTGAGATCTCCTGCTACTATCATAGAGCATGAGCATCGTACTCACAAGTCTATTCATATATTGTCAATGTCCATTCTTGAAAAATGCTATGACTTAGGACATTTAATGGTATCATTTACGTGCATTAGTGTTTGCCTTACATCTTTTGATCAATCATTATTGCAAATGCATATCATAAGGACTTCTATTTAATTCTATTAAATTCATCAAAATGTAAATATAAGAATTAATAGAATAACTTCTTTATTATTATTAAAATAAATAATGCAATAATACATTAACATGAGCTCATCCAAACATGGTTGGATCTTGGGCATCAACACTAACATATATCGCATAAAGAAACCTATGAATGTAATTGGTATTAGGAATTAGGCATTGCTTTAGTTTAGTCGAACCCCG